GCGATATCTCAAGAACTAAACACTGGATTGTCTTCATATTTTGAACTATAGTGTATATACAGACTCCACAGACACCAGTCGGTTTTGGTGACCTTGATCCCATTTTCAAGGTCACAGCAGGCAAATCTGCTTTTAGAGTTGGAAAACGGTGTTGCCGCGATATCTCAAGAACTAAACCTCTAGATTGTCTTCATATTTGGAACTATGGTGTATATACAGACACCGCAGACACCAGTCGGTTTTGGTGACCTTGACCCCATTTTCAAGGTCACAGCAGGCAAATCTGCTTTTGGAGTTAGAAAACGGTGTTGCCGCGATATCTCAAGAACTAATCGCTGGATTGTCTTCATATTTGGAACTATGGTGTATATACAGACACCGCATACACCTGTCAGATTTGGTGACCTTGACCCCATTTTCAAGGTCACAGCAGGCAAATCTGTTTTTGGAGTTGGAAAACGGTGTTGCCACAATATCTCAAGAACTAATCGCTGGATTGTCTTCATATTTGGTACTATGGTGTATATGGCGGGGGATATTTCGTCACTCTGTGACAAATACTTGTATCTAATTAGCTGTAATGGTACGTGGCTACAATGTGTGTGTGTCAGTGTCCTGTGTGTGTGTGTGAGTGTGTGTGTCAGTGTCCTACTGTGTGTGTGTCAGTGTCAGTGTCCTATTGTGGGTGTGTCAGTGTCCTACTGTCTGTCTGTGTGTGTGTGTGTGTATGTGTGTGTGTGTAATATCTAATAAGCTGTAATGGTACGTGGCTACAATATGTGTGTAATATCTAATAAGCTGTAATGGTACGTGGCTACAATGTGTAATATCTAATAAGCTGTAATGGTACGTGGCTACAATGTGTGTGTAATATCTTATAAGCTGTAATGGTACGTGGCTACAGTGTGTGTAATATCTAATAAGCTGTAATGGTACGTGGCTACAATATGTGTGTAATCTCTAATAAGCTGTAATGGTACGTGGCTACAATGTGTGTGTAATCTCTAATAAGCTGTAATGGTACGTGGCTACAATGTGTGTGTAATCTCTAATAAGCTGTAATGGTACGTGGCTACAATGTGTGTGTAATCTCTAATAAGCTGTAATGGTACGTGGCTACAATGTGTGTGTAATATCTAATAAGCTGTAATGGTAAGTGGCTACAATGTGTTTTATCTACTTTTTATCCACCGCCGCGCGTAAGCGCGAAGCGGGGGATATAGTATTCACGACCGTCCGTACGTACGTCCGTACGTCCGTCCGTACGTACGTCCGTACGTCCGTCCGTACGTCCCACCTGTTTGTTGCCGCGATATCTCAAGAACTAAACACTGGATTGTCTTCATATTTGGAACTATGGTGTATATACAGACTCCGCAGACACCAGTCGGTTTTGGTGACCTTGATCCCATTTTCAAGGTCACAGCAGACAAATCTGTTTTGGGAGTTGGAAAACGGTGTTGCCACAATATCTCAAGAACTAATCGCTGGATTGTCTTCATATTTGGAACTATGGTGTATATACAGACTCCGCAGACACCAGTCGGTTTTGGTGACCTTGATCCCATTTTCAAGGTCACAGCAGACAAATCTGCTTTTAGAGTTGGAAAACGGTGTTGCCGCGATATCTCAAGAACTAAACACTGGATTGTCTTCATATTTAGAACTATGGTGTATATACAGACTCCGCAGACACCAGTCGGTTTTGGTGACCTTGATCCCATTTTCAAGGTCACAGCAGGCAAATCTGCTTTTAGAGTTGGAAAACGGTGTTGCCGCGATATCTCAAGAACTAAACACTGGATTGTCTTCATATTTGGAACTATGGTGTATATACAGACACCGCAGACACCAGTCGGTTTTGGTGACCTTGACCCAATTGTCAAGGTCACAGCAGGCAAATCTGCTTTTGGAGTTAGAAAACGGTGTTGCCGCGATATCTCAAGAACTAATTGCTGGATTGTCTTCAAATTTGGAACTATGGTGTATATACAGACACCGCATACACCTGTCAGATTTGGTGACCTTGACCCCATTTTCAAGGTCACAGCAGGCAAATCTGTTTTTGGAGTTGGAAAACGGTGTTGCCACAATATCTCAAGAACTAATCGCTGGATTGTCTTCATATTTGGTACTATGGTGTACAGGCGGGGGATATTTCGTCACTCTGTGACAAATACTTGTTCTGAAGGTGCTGAATCTGTTTTCTCCTTGTTGAATGTGTCACTTTTTGAACAGAGGCTTTTGTAACTACATGTTTAATTTGTCAGTATGTGAACAGAGACTTTGTGTTAATTACTTAAGAATTGACTTTCACAAGCTCAGCCATTCATACACTTTCGCCCTCTCTCTTTGAAGGTTTATATTTCAATGATCTCAGACAATGTGAAAGTCAATTCTTATACTTTTTTATATCACTATATCACAAAGGATCTATACACACTTTTATTTTGTATGTTTGACTTCTTGTTTACACTGACAGCCATACAACAGCCAGCTTTATCGTGGAATAAAATAGTTCCTCTTAAAGACAGGTGACATAAGAATATGTATGCACAACTTGCTCTACAGGAACATCTCTTCTTGTTTGTTTACAACAAATGCATTCAAATAATATAATCATTTTGAGGAGAAAGGTCTTTTAAGAACTACCTCAATAAGTCACAATGACAGCAGATACAATAGACATGACGGGAGAGATTTTAGAAGTTGCTGATGAACCTGTGTCCGTAACATACGTTGGTCATCATAGATCAATTGGCCAATCATTGAAAAGTGATTATAAACATGTGTCAAGGGTACTAAGGTAAATTCACAGATTGTGCAAGACTGTGACTGTCAGTCTAGACACAGATCAAGTCGATACTACGATTGTTTGGATGTGAATTTCTTTATTTTGTGCACTAGGATCGGTCGTAGCGAGGATGTTCATGAGCGATCATGCAGTCAAAAAAAATTTATGTTTCACAATGTATGCTAAAATGCTGAGTTAAAGATTAAACACTCTAAATGATCAGACAACTCTTCTCTATGTATTCATTCTAAGGAATTCCGAGGGGTTTCCTCCCTAGGAATGGGGAAGTAGACTGTAAGTGTTTATGTCATTTCAAGAATATGGTCTCAGGAAAAGTGTTTCAGCGTCAAATTGTGTTATTCATACATTTATTACTGTCAATCTCATGTAACTGATCTAATGGAAAAGTTGTTGTATATCCTGTAAACTTCCCATTAAAAATTATTCCATGTTGAATGTGTCAGTATGTGAACAGAGACGTTGTGTTACTACATGTTGAATGTGTCAGTATGTGAACAGAGACTATGAGTTACTACATATTGAATGTGTCAGTATGTGAACAGAGACTTTGTGTTACTACGTGTTGAATGTGTGAGTATGTGAACAGAGACTTTGTGTTACTTCATTTTGAATGTGTGAGTATGTGAACAGACTATGAGTTACTACATGTTGAATGTGTGAGTATGTGAACATAGACTTTATGTTACTACATGTTGAATGTGTCAGTATGTGAACAGACTTTGTGTAACTACATGTTGAATGTGTGAGTATGCGAACAGAGACTTTGTTTTACGTACCACGTCTTGAATGTGTCAGTATGTGAACAGAGACTTTGTGTTACGTACTACATGTTGAATGTGTGAGTATGTGAACAGAGACTTTATATTACTATATGTTGAATGTGTCAGTATGTGAACAGAGACTTTGTGTTACGTACTACATGATGAATGTGTGAGTATGTGAACAGACTTTGTGTTACTACATGTTGAATGTGTCAGTATGTGAACAGAGACTTTGTGTTACTACATGTTGAATGTGTCAGTATGTGAACAGAGACTTTGTGTTACCACATGTTGAATGTGTCAGTATGTGAACAGACTTTGTGTTACGTACTACATCTTGAATGTGTGAGTATGTGAACAGAGACGTTGTGTTACCCCGTGTTGAATGTGTCAGTATGTGAACAGAGACTATGAGTTACTACATGTTGAATGTGTCAGTATGTGAACAGAGACTTTGTGTTACTACATGTTGAATGTGTGAGTATGTGAACAGAGACTTTGTGTTACTACATGTTGAATGTGTCAGTATGTGAACAGAGACTTTGTGTTACTACATGTTGAATGTGTCAGTATGTGAACAGAGACTTTGTGTTACTACATGTTGAATGTGTCAGTATGTTAACAGAGACTATGAGTTACTACATGTTGAATGTGTGAGCATGTTAACAGAGACTTTGTGTTACTACATGTTGAATGTGTGAGTATGTGAACAGACTTTGTGTTACGTACTTCATGTTGAATGTGTGAGTATGTGAACAGAGACTTTGTGTTACTACATGCTGAATGTGTCAGTTTGTGAACAGAGACTTTATGTTACTACATGTTGAATTTGTGAGTTTGTGAACAGAGTCTATGAGTTACTGCATGTTGAATGTGTCAGTATGTGAACAGAGACTTTGTGTTACTACATGTTGAATGTGTCAGTATGTGAACAGAGACTATGAGTTACTACATGTTGAATGTAGATGTGTCATAACATCAGCAAAACATGAGAAGTGTATGTTGATGGAGATGGTGAGGGTGATGTGATGTCAGTACTTCAGTTCTGTTCTCTGTTGCAGGATCCAAAGGGGAACAACAACCAGTACCGAGTCATAGATCCTTTCTCGAATGAAAGCGTGTATCGGGACACAAGTCAGATATTTGGTGGAGAATATACAAGTCAGTCAGATGACATAGGGTCAGACAGGTGAGTCCCACAGGTTGGCATAGCTGTGAAACTAGGCTAACACCACAAGTGTACTGTCTGTTGATGCTCACATGTCCTTGTGGTGAGTACAGATGGTGAAAGGGATGTAACTCTTGTCAACAAGATGAAGGCCAACAGCAGGAAGCAAGATAAAATATCTGTAACTTTAAACACTTTGAACACATGACTGCAGCCTCATAAACACATGACTGAAGCCTTATCAATATGTGACTGGAAACTTATTAACACATGACTGAAGCATTATTAACATGACTGAAGCCTTATTAACACACGACTGCAGCCTTATAAATACATGACTGCAGCCTTATTAACACACGACTGAAGCCTTATTAACACATGACTGCAGCCTTATAAATACACAACTGCAGCCTTATTAACACATGACTGCAGCCTTATAAACACATGACTGAAGCATTATTAACATGACTGAAGCCTTATTAACACATGACTGAAGCATTACTAACATGACTGAAGCCTTATTAACACATGACTGCAGCCTTATAAATACACAACTGCAGCCTTATAAATACACAATTGCAGCCTTATTAACACACGGCTGCAGCCTTATTAACACATGACTGAAGCCTTATACACACATGACTGCAGCCTTATTAACACATGACTGCAGCCTTATTAACACACGACTGAAGCCTTATTAACATGACTGCAGCCTTATTAACACATGACTGCAGCCTTATAAATACACAACTGCAGCCTTATTAACACATGACTGAAGCCTTATTAACACATGACTGCAGCCTTATTAACACATGACTGAAGCCTTATAAATACATGACTACAGCCTTATAAATACACAACTGCAGCCTTATTAACAAATGACTGAAGCCTTATTAACACATGACTGAAGCATTATTAACATGACTGAAGCCTTATTAACACATGACTGCAGCCTTATAAATACATGACTGCAGCCTTATAAACACATGACTGAAGTCTTATCAATATGTGACTGGAAACTTATTAACACATGACTGAAGCATTATTAACATGACTGAAGCCTTATAAACACATGACTGAACTCATTATTTCCATATATTTCCATAATATTAAGATGTGCCAAATATTTGTTCATATCTGAGAATATAATCCATTGACAATGATGCTGAAGTCAAGTTTCAGTGAAGAAAAATAATGTTTAAACAGGGAATGTTATACTGGTGCCAGTATATTCACAGGAAATGATTTAACGAATTCATTTGGTTCCACTTTCCAGATATGGACCAGCATATAGTGGACAGTACCCACTGAGTAGTTTCCGTGGTGATTATGCAGACTCAAGGCTACCTCCCGCCTGTTTAAGTACGACCAAACTGGCAACAAATGTGTAGATGTGTGCACCGGGACTCTACCATCAGTGGGAGGAACATGTTCACTCTTTACACACCAACCATGGTAAAACAAACTATCATTGCCATACTTGGTGGCAACATTTTATACAACTTTGTATGGATCATGCATCAATATGGAATCTAATTCCATACCATTCTATCAGCAGCATTGTAAACATGTACAGGCATCTGTCCAGGAATGGATGCTGGATAAACTGGAAGCTTTCCATGAATCTATTGCACAATTAGAAGAGTTGAACACAGTTTAGCGAGGACAGTGAGCACCATTTATCTGTCTGCTGCCTGTTGTAGCAGTCTCGAAGCACAGCATCTGCATCATAGGCACCACCACTCTTAATGCACTAGTCATGTATATACAGCTTGCCTTTATCATTCGGGGAAAATTGATACAAAAATTATTCCAAGATCAATGCAAAGACAATGAGCCTTATTAGCCTTGCCATGATATGTGTACAAGAACATGAGCTGGAAGCACTGGAGGAGAGCTCGTGCACAGCTGCTGTACCAAGTCGGTGAGGAGGATGTTCAAGCAAAGGAAGACAGTTTGTGTTAAAGTGCACCTACTCTCTCTGTGGATATCGGAATAGAATCTTCTTGGTGCTGTTAAGTTGCAATTGATATAGTGTTGAGCTGCCCCTGAGTGTGGGACAGAGGGAGTAGGTGGAGCATTTCTTGTGCAAGCCAAAGGAGGAAGACACAGGAAGGAAATAAAGTGACATGATTTCTTCCAAACAATGTCCACAATAGTCAGTGAAAGCCCAGAGGCTGGACATATGCGTGATAGTTGGCAGTGCTCCTGTCCAGGAAGTTCAGCCTGTAAAGATGGTTGTGTTGAATGAACAAGTTTTGTGGGAAAAAACCTGTTTCTGTGAATGAAAGCTGATGTAAATACATGAGGTACATGATACTGGCCACACTGAGTCCTGTCCTGTTCACATCACAGTGTAATGTAATAATACGTGTTGGCCAGTGTGTACCAAGTACAGCTTGATGCCAAGACCTGCCACAGTACTGTGTAGCCTGAAGAGAACATCAGGTACAGATGTTCATGCAGTCTGGAGGACATCAGGTACAGATGTTCATGCAGTCTGGAGGACATCAGGGACAGATGTTCATGCAGTCTGGAGGACATCAGGTACAGATGTTCATGCTGTCTGGAGGACATCAGGTACAGATGTTCATGCAGTCTGGAGGACATCAGGTACAGATGTTCATGCAGTCTGGAGGACATCAGGTACAGATGTTCATGCAGTCTGGAGGACATCAGGTACAGATGTTCATGCAGTCTGGAGGACATCAGGTACAGATGTTCATGCAGTCTGGAGGACATCAGGTACAGATGTTCATGCAGTCTGGATGACATCAGGTACAGATGTTCATGCAGTCTGGAGGACATCAGGTACAGATGTTCATGCAATCTGGAGGACATCGGGTACAGATGTTCATGCAGTCTGGAGGACATGTGGTAAAGCATGATGTGTTCTGACTTCAGATATACCTGGAGCCATTCTGAGCATGACATGTTCTTGTATAAATGAATAGGAACCCAATTGTTTGTGTGAGGAGTCTAGCAGTACATGCCATGAGTATATAACTGTTTATGAACTATAGCAATATTGTCAGAATGGGGATGACCAAGTGAGGTGTTGAAGTGTCCAAGTTCAGAAAGCAGGAGACAACAGGGCTTGGCCCAAATAAACATTGGCTGTCATAACATAATCCATGCATCCAGCTGTGCAAAGGATGTCACTCCAGACCCTGACAATGATGTCACACTTTCAATGCCCAAATGATTCTTAAAACTACATTTGCATATTGGTTTATTCAGTAAGTCTCCTTGTTAAAAGAACATGTTGTAACACTCATACCTGCAGTTTCAGAGAAAATAAATATTGTCATATATACATCTGTCTCACTGCAGGAATGTTCCTGTGTCTAGTCCATGTTCATCTGTCTCCCTTCAGGAATGTTCCTGTGTCTAGTCTAGCCCATGTACATCTGTCTCACTGCAGGAATGTTCCTGTGTCTAGTCCATGTACATCAGTCTCACTTCAGGAATGTTCCTGTGTCTAGTCCATGTACATTGGTCTCTCTGCAGGAATGTTCCTGTGTCTAGCCCATGTACATCAGTCTCACTTCAGAAATGTTCCTGTGTCTAGTCCATGTACATCAGTCTCACTTCAGGAATGTTCCTGTGTCTAGCCCATGTACATCGGTCTCTCTGCAGGAATGTTCCTGTGTCTAGTCTAGCCCATGTACATCTGTCTCACTTCAGGAATGTTCCTGTGTCTAGCCCATGTACATCTGTCTCACTTCAGAAATGTTCCTGTGTCTAGTCCATCTACATCTGTCTCACTTCAGAAATGTTCCTGTGTCTAGCCCATGTACATCTGTCTCACTTCAGAAATGTTCCTGTGTCTAGTCCATCTACATCTGTCTCACTTCAGGAATGTTCCTGTGTCTAGCCCATGTACATCTGTCTCACTTCAGGAATGTTCCTGTGTCTAGCCCATGTACATCTGTCTCACGTCAGGAATGTTCCTGTGTCTAGTCCATCTACATCAGTCTCACTTCAGGAATGTTCCTGTGTCAGGCCCATGTACATCGGTCTCTCTGCAGGAATGTTCCTGTGTCTAGTCTAGCCCATGTACATCTGTCTCACTTCAGGAATGTTCCTGTGTCTAGCCCATGTACATCTGTCTCACTTCAGGAATGTTCCTGTGTCTAGCCCATGTACATCTGTCTCACTTCAGGAATGTTCCTGTGTCTAGCCCATGTACATCTGTCTCACGTCAGGAATGTTCCTGTGTCTAGTCCATCTACATCTGTCTCACTTCAGGAATGTTCCTGTGTCTAGCCCATGTACATCTGTCTCTCTGCAGGAATGTTCCTGTGTCTAGTCTAGCCCATGTACATCTGTCTCACTTCAGGAATGTTCCTGTGTCTAGCCCATGTACATCTGTCTCACTTCAGAAATGTTCCTGTGTCTAGTCCATCTACATCAGTCTCACTTCAGGAATGTTCCTTTGTCTAGCCCATGTACATCGGTCTCACTTCAGAAATGTTCCTGTGTCTAGTCCATCTACATCTGTCTCACTTCAGGAATGTTCCTGTGTCTAGCCCATGTACATCTGTCTCACTTCAGGAATGTTCCTGTGTCTAGCCCATGTACATCTGTCTCACTTCAGGAATGTTCCTGTGTCTAGCCCATGTACATCTGTCTCACGTCAGGAATGTTCCTGTGTCGAGCCCATGTACATCGGTCTCTCTGCAGGAATGTTCCTGTGTCAGGCCCATGTACATCGGTCTCTCTGCAGGAATGTTCCTGTGTCTAGTCCATCTACATCTGTCTCACTTCAGGAATGTTCCTGTGTCTAGCCCATGTACATCTGTCTCACTTCAGGAATGTTCCTGTGTCTAGCCGATGTACATCGGTCTCTCTGCAGGAATGTTCCTGTGTCTAGTCTAACCCATGTACATCTGTCTCACTTCAGGAATGTTCCTGTGTCTAGCCCATGTACATCGGTCTCACTGCAGGAATGTTCCTGTGTCTAGCCCATGTACATCGGTCTCACTTCAGGAATGTTCCTGTGTCTAGCCCATGTACATCTGTCTCACTTCAGGAATGTTCCTGTGTCTAGCCCATGTACATCTGTCTCACTTCAGGAATGTTCCTGTGTCTAGCCCATGTACATCTGTCTCACGTCAGGAATGTTCCTGTGTCGAGCCCATGTACATCGGTCTCTCTGCAGGAATGTTCCTGTGTCAGGCCCATGTACATCGGTCTCTCTGCAGGAATGTTCCTGTGTCTAGTCCATCTCCATCTGTCTCACTTCAGGAATGTTCCTGTGTCTAGCCCATGTACATCTGTCTCACTTCAGGAATGTTCCTGTGTCTAGCCGATGTACATCGGTCTCTCTGCAGGAATGTTCCTGTGTCTAGTCTAACCCATGTACATCTGTCTCACTTCAGGAATGTTCCTGTGTCTAGCCCATGTACATCTGTCTCACTGCAGGAATGTTCCTGTGTCTAGCCCATGTACATCGGTCTCTCTGCAGGAATGTTCCTGTGTCTAGTCCATCTACATCTGTCTCACTGCAGGAATGTTCCTGTGTCTAGTCCATTACATCGGTCTCACTATAGGACGGTCCTGTGTCTAGTCAAGTCCATTACATTGGTCTCACTGCAGGAATGTTCCTGTGTCTAGCCCATGTACATCTGTCTCACTGCAGGAATGTTCTTGTGTCTAGCCCATGTACATCTGTCTCACTGCAGGAATGTTCTTGTGTCTAGCCCATGTACATCGGTCCCTCTGCAGGAATGTTCCTGTGTCAAGTCCATTACATCGGTCTCACTACAGGACGTTCCTGTGTCTAGTCGAGCCCATGTACATCTGTCTCACTGCAGGAATGTTCCTGTGTCAAGTCCTTTACATCGGTCTCACTACAGGACGTTCCTGTGTCTAGTCGAGCCCATGTACATCTGTCTCACTGCAGGAATGTTCCTGTGTCTAGCCCATGTACATCGGTCTCTCTGCAGGAATGTTCCTGTGTCAAGTCCATTACATCGGTCTCACTATAGAACGGTCCTGTGTCTAGTCAAGTCCATTACATTGGTCTCACTGCAGGAATGTTCTTGTGTCTAGCCCATGTACATCAGTCTCTCTGCAGGAATGTTCCTGTGTCAAGTCCATTACATCGGTCTCACTATAGAACGGTCCTGTGTCTAGTCAAGTCCATTTCATTGGTCTCACTGCAGGAATGTTCTTGTGTCTGCACATGTACATCAGTCTCTCTGCAGGAATGTTCCTGTGTCAAGTCCATTACATCGGTCTCACTACAGGACGTTCCTGTGTCTAGTCGAGCCCATGTACATCTGTCTCACTTCAGGAATGTTCCTGTGTCAAGTCCATTACATCGGTCTCACTTCAGGAATGTTCTTGTGTCTAGCCCATGTATATCAGTCTCTCTGCAGGAATGTTCATGTGTCAAGTCCATTACATCGGTCTCACTACAGGGCGTTCCTGTGTCTAGTCGAGGCCCATGTACATCTGTCTCACTTCAGGAATGTTCCTGTGTCAAGTCCATTACATCGGTCTCACTACAGGACGTTCCTGTGTCTAGTCGAGGCCCATGTACATCTGTCTCACTTCAGGAATGTTCCTGTGTCTAGCCCATGTACATCTGTCTCACTTCAGGAATGTTCCTGTGTCAAGTCCATTACATCGGTCTCACTACAGGACGTTCCTGTGTCTAGTCCAGGCCCATGTACATCTGTTTCACTTCAGGAATGTTCCTGTGTCAAGTCCATGTACATCGGTCTCACTTCAGGAATGTTCCTGTGTCTAGCCCATGTACATCGGTCTCTCTGCAGGAATGTTCCTGTGTCTAGTCGAGGCCCATGTACATCGGTCTCACTGCAGGAATGTTCCTGTGTCGAGCCCATGTACATCGGTCTCACTGCAGGAATGTTCCTGTGTCTAGCCCATGTACATCGGTCTCACTGCAGGAATGTTCCTGTGTCTAGTCCATGTACATCAGTCTCACTGCAGAAATGTTCCTGTGTCTAGCCCATGTACATCAGTCTCACTGCATGAAAGTTCTTGTATCTGGTCCATGCACATCTCCCTCACTATAGGCATGTTCCTGTGTCTGGTCCATGTACATCTCTCTCGCCCAGTTAAGTATGTCTCTGTTTTCATTCTGATGGGGTTTGATAAGGATGTGAAACATTGTGTATGTAATATTTATTATCAGTGTAAATATGTAAACATGTAGACTATAGGGAATGGTCTATGAGGTGAGTACGTTGTTCCCCTGTTCAATACCTGTGTGTGTCTGGCCCTGCAAGTATAACTCACTCTTGTAGCTCTGTTACACCTTAGTTTTGTATCATGCTTGGACTGCACTATTGTTGCTTGTTCAACACCATGATTATACATTCAACATGCTAATTTGTTTTTCATGTTTTTGTTTTTATTGACTTTCTGATATATTAAGGAGTTGTTTGTTTCTTTCACTGGCGATCAATATACATTGCTTTGTATAGTTTGTGTTACTTTGTGTTTCACTCGGTATTTTGTGTCTCCTGGGGATTTGGTGTGACCTGAAGTTCTAGGTGGGGAATACAGTAAATACTGTCAGTGAGTCTCTGGACATGGGCTCCACCTCAGGTACAAGTAGACTCTATGTTTATGTCCTGGTTAGACCCTACTCTCGGACATTTCTAGGTTTGTGTGTGATGTATCCTTCGTTACTGACTATCACTGATTGGTGAAGTATGTTTATTTGCTGCTCTCAAAATGTATGCAAGACTGTGTGCATCTGGTTTACTTCTATTTGGGCCTTGTTTTATCCTTCCTTCCATATAGTTGTTGGTCCCCTAGACCTCAATCACCCACATAGCCTAGGTGGACACAGGTCAAGGCATCCTTTAAACTATCATTTAAACTATGTGGATTTGAATGTGTCTCATAGTTACACCCCTACATAGAGATCTGTGTCAGTCAGGCTGTAGACACATAGAGAAGCTCTGATAATTCCCATGCCTCTTAGGTTAGCAGCAACTTGCTGTATGTAGAAAACCTATCTTTTTAGGGGGCACACAAATGCCATCATTATTGTATCCATCATGAGACACTAGGACTATCTTGACATACACAACAAATTTAGATGGAACGCAAAAAAGATCAGATGAAACATGTTTGGAAATGTTTGTTGTTTCGGAGTCCTATTTGACATGTGAACAAACAATGTGGTATGTTTCTACCCATGAAGATGCTTTATAGGTGTAAAATGTAAAAAACATATAAGCACACTGCGCGCACACGCGCGCACACACACACACACACACACACACACACACACATCCCAATGGGCTCTGGCACAGCTACTTAAGCACAAGAAATACTAACCAGCATCACATCAGATAACATACAAGAAATAATACCTACTTAACAGATCAAAAGAACTTTATCAATACCAAAATAACATGACAGATCACACACAGTATCACACATTTGATCTAATACCTTCATAAAAATATCATGATGGATTCACAAAAATATAATATCAGCTAATCATATCAGAACAGATCACATACCCAAAACAACACCGAAACAACATATCACAGTCGTTCAGAAACCCGCAAGACATTTCTATAAAGGTTTCCTCAATGGCTGATCAAATCACAGGTTACATCTTGTAGTGAGAAGGTCATTGGATTTCGCCAAGGTCACAGAGAAGATTATTAGGTAAATCCAGATTATTTTTGTATGAAATTCTATGTCATCAGTACCTTTCTGTACAGTAATGTATCATTGAAAATTAATATATTGTTCATTGTATTTCTCTGATAGCTTGTTTTATTGTAGATATATTGAATGTGTGCTCTGACAGCGATAAGTGATGACATGAAGTATCCTGCGTACATCGTCATCTAATCATGTGCAATTTGATAATGTAATAAATGAGATTTTGTACATAACAATATCACTGTGGGTTGTTTTCTGATCAATGACAGTGAGAATGTGGTAGGAAGCTACCTGTGAACACATCAACTGACGGCCAAAAGAAACTTTTCCACAGTAATCACAAAAGATAGATGCATGAAGTAAAATTGAAAAGGTAAAAATCTCAACGAAATCAACATTTAAAGTGACAGTCATACAGTATCGGATGTTGGCATGACAGTTGCCCGAATTGAGGTGAGGTAGCAAAAATTAACTTTCAAGTAGTTGACAAAGGGAACACATCTAAAATCACTCAAGTTCAGTGACACATCACATTAATAGCGTGTACTGGTATGACCACCCCTGATACAAGGCATGCAAACCGGAGTTACAACACAACTCAAACAAAAATGTTTATAGTCTTGACTCGAAAATATCAATGTATGAAAATTCAATTTCTGTGCAACGGTTACTTCAAAAGTTTGAGAACCAAAAGCTTTTAGTTTCAACATACGAAGGAAGCGGTCAGAACAGGTGTTATCTGCAGACAGATGGCTTTGAAGAGGACGTCTGTTGAAAGTCTAAAAAACTGTATAGTATTGGTGACTGCCGAAACAGGAATCTATAGCTATGATGTAATAGAGGCAGGGTAATCAAAGGAATTGCATGTTTCAGACGTGTTCGGGTTAATAGCAGTATCTATTTACTCTGATGTTCTTTAGACAGGGGTTTTGAATAAGCAGAAGAGCCGAAGTGACGGGGACACTAACGTTGATTCTGCTTCTAGCCAACAAGAAAAACATCCACAGAAGAATAATGACATCACATCACTCTTGTTTGCAAAAGTTTTAGAAATGCATGGTCATATGGGACGTTCACAATCTGTTGATCGCAAAATTGAACACATGTGAGGAATTTGACCAAAACCATTAATCGGTTATTGGAGGAGAAAAATATATGGTAAATGCCAGCACAGAAATAGAAAGACATTATATCACTCAACTAAAACTGCGCGTTGATATCAGGATCTTAGTATATTACATTAGGGATAAAGTTACGATGATAGAACTGACGTAATTCTGAACACATCTCTCAGTGTGCCAACAGATGTCCAACATAACAGTTGTGAAACATTACAAGAATATGGGCAACGTCCCAACAACAACATGTCTTCTCATCTACAAGTAACATCAAGTTTTGATAGTGAATGCGAGAGGGCTTTTAAGGGTGCTTCACCTTTAAAAAGAAAAAGACTTGTACTGTGAAACATCAAAGCAGATAGGCATACGACGCAGTTCGCAATGCTATTGTATCATACGCAAAGACACAAGATGTCCGTGTGAGCCTTGTTAGACTGTTGAGACACAAGATGTCCGTGTGAGCCTTGTTAGACTGTTGAGACACAAGATGTCCGTGTGAGCCTTGTTAGACTGTTGAGACACAAGATGTCCGTGTGAGCCCTGTTAGACTGTTGAGACACGAGATGTCCGTGTGAGCCTTGTTAGACTGTTGAGACACAAGATGTCCGTGTGAGCCTTGTTAGACTGTTGAGACACAAGATGTCCGTGTGAGCCTTGTTAGACTGTTGAGACACTAGATGTCCGTGTGAGCCTTGTTAGACTGTTGAGACACAAGATGTCTGTGTGAGCCCTGTTAGACTGTTGAGACACTAGATGTCCGTGTGAGCCTTGTTAGACTGTTGAGACACAAGATGTCTGTGTGAGCCCTGTTAGACTGTTGAGACACAAGATGTCCGTGTGAGCCCTGTTAGACTGTTGAGACACAAGATGTCCGTGTGAGCCTTGTTTACACACTGCCTGAACACACTAGGGATGAAACATTCTGAAATCCAATATGCCCCCGCAGTTCGAACAAAGGCCGAATCCTTAGAGGCATCAGTATATATATGTATGTGAAGTTGTCATAATGTTAGGTTATATTATCATGAGATGCAGCTTTTATAACATTTGGACCCATTCTTTTGTTAATGGTTGAATTCAGATCATGACTAAGGCCTGGATTCAGAAGAAGCCAAGAAGCAGTATCTGGAGGTGCAGAGGAATCAACTGGGGTGCACTGTACAACTCCATGTTAAGCATTCTGAATGCTCAAACCGAAAGGGGCCTTGCCATGTTAGCACTCACAAAAATCACATACTCAACACAATCATTAACAATATCATTAGCTGAATTATTGTTGGTTTTAGATTTCGATTTGAGACAAACGTTCACGACGAAGGCCTAGAGGCATTTCTAAGAATTCAACCTTGAGATGAAACTGGGGTAGTTGCAAAGGCAGCCGTGCAAGATTCCCAAAGCCTTCGACTGAATCGGGTCAAGTTTGGAGAGAGGACATTTTGAGGCAGACGTAGATACCTTGCAGTCATAGTCAAGCCTTGATAGTATTAATGCTTTATAAAGCAACAACACTGACCCGATTTCGTTTGGGGGATCATTTCAGCAGATATATAGCCTCCTTGACTTTGTTCGCAACATGAAATATATGAGAACCCCAAGTTAGTTTCTGGTCAAAATAAACACGAAGAAATTTAAACTCGTGTACAATTTCTATTTTGTGGTCACCAAGGGCTAGCTTTATATTTGAAGGAAGATTACGTCTCGTTAACATTGCAACAGATTTGGACTGGGAAACCTTAAATCCCCACTTAGAACACCACACAGTCATGACGCCTAAGCTTTTCTGAATCGATTCAATAACAAACTTAAAATTGCATAGCCACACATACGAGGATTCGTGATATTTGGATTGCTCATTATTCTATCTTGGCGGAAACTGACATAATCATTGATTTTAAAATTGCTCTCCGGTCAAAGGAATGTGTCCTGAACACATAAAACGCTTAGAATTATTTGATATGAATTGTTTAAGATTATCACCATAAGGTACCAGACTTTAACCATTCCAGTGCAAAATAGTTTTCTCAATTATTTCTTTTCAACATGATTACTGTTTTGAGACATCAAGCACGAGATGAATGTTAGCAGCTGAGACAATTCGATCTATACACATGCACAAAAGTAAAGCGCCACCCACCATATTTGTGAGCTGTTACTTTTGGCACTTAATGATGACTATTATAACGAGATGTACGATTGTTATAAGCCGTATATGTAAACCTCATGTGATGCAAAAGTTGTCGCAAAGCAAGTTTATCTTGTGTTCCAAAAGAATATGAGCAGAAAGGAATTTTACCGAAGACCAGAAATTGAAGGATTAGAAAACATTGAACATTTTTTTGTCATGTAACTATAATGATATCAGCAGACCATATCAGGTGTCAAATAGACACCCTAGGGAGTGCAGAGTCTATTGCAAGACAGAAACGTCAGTAACGTGTGTATGATCCACGGACATTGACCACAGGTTCAACCCTACGCCTCATACTCATTACAAGTCGTTGAATGCTTCTCTGAGGCAAACGGATCCATTCTTCATGAAGTGCGGCTTCAAGTCCAGCGAGATTTTGAACTGGGGGATCACGATGTCGGATTTTCCGGCCAAGAATGTCCCAGAGATGCTCAATCGGATTAAAATCCAGACTACAGACCGGCCAAGGAAGAGTGGCAATAGCTTCTTGACGCAAATAAGCCAAAACTGCCCGAGATCTGTGTGGTCTAGCATTGTCGTCCATGTAAACAGTCTTGTCTGAAGAGGATGGTTGTCAAAATGAGGGACTACCACTGGACGAAGAACGGCATCTTGGTATTGTTGGCCATTCAGGTTTCCACGAATTGTCACCAGCGGAAGTTTGCAGCCGAAGGAAACACAACCCCATATCATGACAGACCCCCCGCCACATGCTAAGGTCTTCTGGGTGTTCCTTGGTGCAAAACGAGTGTTACGTTGCCTCCAAACACGTATTCGACCATCAACAGTTCGTAGCAGCATTCGACACACGTCAGACCAATGGATCCTTCTCCAGTTGGCCAAGTTCCATCGACTACGGGCACGACACCGTATCAGACGATTCCGCATGTGCCTCTCAGTCAGTTGAGGACGTTTTACTGGTCTTCTGGCGTTATAACCAGCCGCTCTGAGGCGACGCCTTACGGTCATCGTCGAGAGTCTCTGATGAGTAATCCACTGCAGTCTGGCTGCCTTGGTGTAGCATCATAACCAAATCATGGCCTTGGCTGCCTAGTTGTAGCATCAAACCCAAACCATGGCCTGGTTGGCTTGGTGTAGCATCATACCCAAACCATGGCCTGGCTGCGCTAGTGTAGCATCATACCCAAACCATGTCGTGGCTGACTTGATGTAGCATCATACCCAAACCATGGCCTGTCTGTGCTAGTGTAGCATCATACCCAAACCTTGCCTGGCTGCCTTGTTGTAGCATCATACCCAAACCATGGCCTGGCTGATTAAGTGTAGCATCATACCCAAACTATGACCTCTCTTAGTGTAGCATCGTACGTAAACCATTGCCTGGCTGTCCTTGTCTAGCATCATACCCAAACCATGGCATGGCTGTGCTAGTGTAGCATCATACCCAAACCATGGCCTTGGCTGCCTTGGTGTAGCATCATACCCAAACCATGGCCTGGCTGCCTTGGTGTACCATCATACCCAAACCATGGCATTGGCTGCCTTGTTGTAGCATCATACCCACACCATGGCCTGGCTGTCTTAGTGTGGCATCATACCCAAACCATGGCCTGGCTGTCCTGTTATAGCATCATACCCTAAAAATGTTTTGGCTGTCCTGGTATAGCATCAAACCCGAACCATTGCCTAGCATCATACCTAAACTATGGCCTGGCTGTCTTAGCGTAGCATCAAACGTAAACCATTGCTTGGCTGTCCAGGTGTAGCATCTTACCCAAACCATGGCCTGGTTGTCTTAGTTTCTCATCATACCCAAACTATTACCTGGTTGTCTTAGTGTAGCATCGTACGTAAACCATTGCCTGGCTGTCCTTGTGTAGCATCATATCCAAAATATGACCTGGCTGTCTTAGTGTAGCATCGTACGTAAACCATTGCCTGGCTGTCCTTGTGTACCATCATACCC